TGTAACAAAAAATAGGGAGTAGTTAATCTTAAAGTCCAGAAACAGAGGACCCTAGGACCATCAAGAGAGGAACGCACAAGCAGAATGCAGGACCTTATCCAGAGAAGCAGCAGCACCAGAGATGGAGGCAGAGATGCAGGCATGGAGAGGGGGAGTGGCTGAAGATTCTAGATTCATGGACTAAGAAGAGAAGGACTAAGAGCTGGCGGCCAGGAGCACACTTGCAGAATGTGCCCTTTGGAGATGAAAAATATTATATATGCCTGAGTGGGTTTTTTTATTTGTGTGTTTTTTAAAAAGCTAAAGTGGATAGAGAAAAATATTGTTAACTGATGGTACATGGAGGGGATTATAATCAATGTAATGAAACAACGTATATGATTTGTTGAATGTAAAACTGATGATATACCCTGTAAACTTTCACTCAAATCCACAATAAAAACCTTAAAAAAAAAAAGGTGACTGTTTTTAGCATTGTCAAGTGCTGTTCCAATTTTTCCCTCCTTAGCAATTCAGGCCTCTTATTTTAAGAGATCTGATATGTCACTTTTCCATAAGCCGTTTTTGTGCTCCACAGTTTAGATGCACTTGAACATCACTAGTTGTGAAGGGGGAGCTCTCTGCCATTTGGCAAAAGTGACTGAATCAATGTATTTCCATGACCAAGACTTATTAGTTTTGTCCCTTTCTAATTTCCCGAAATTTCCTTGACAGCTTTTCTTTTTCTTTTCTCTTAATTTAAGCTATTACAAACACAGATGTGCACAATCTATTTTTAATGACAGAAATTTTTATGAATGCATTCTAACTAAATCCATAATGTATTCTTGTTTAGCAATAGAAGACCACAATAAAAGAACATTGTAACTTACAATGTGTTTTTCCAAACATGCTCTGATGAACATGTTTATAGTAAGGGTAAACAGGGAGCTTACTGGGTAGGACTTCCTGGAGGTTAGCAAGTCAAGCTTTGAAGGGAAGAGAAATGAAGTAACTGCAAGGAGAAAAGGCAGATGATACTCTTGAAGGAATAAAGGAACAACTGAAAAGTTAGGGTTAGGTTGAGAAATAGAAGACTACTTCTAGAGAAACAAAGGATGACAGAGATAGTTAAAATATGCAGAGTTTTAGTTGGTGGAAGACAAGATAATTGTTTGAATTTGAACAAGAGAAGATAAAACAGTAGAAAACCCTTCAAGGATGCAGCAAACCAGAAACTGTCATGCACTGCTGATCGGAGTCTAAACTGGCAGAGCCACTTGGAGGAACAATTTGGTAAGACTGAGAAAGTGTAAGCTCCATGCCTTAGCCATTGGAACCTTGCATGTGCTGTCGGCTGTTCACTGCAAACTATTTATACTTATAAAGACCGGAAGTTATCTAAATGTCCAGCAGCAAGGGGGAGAGATAATGGTCTGCATACTCATGATGGAGTACACCGTAAGACCACAGTCACACAGCAGTTAAAATGAATGAACGAGAGCTCTTAAGTATCAATAGAGAAAAGCGGAATAATACATAGTACTGATGTTAATTTTCAAAACATGAAACAATGATACTATATTTAGATAAGTCATTTATAAGCTGTTCAAGTATGAAGCAGAAGAAAGAACGATACCAAATTTTAGCCACTGGTTTCATTGAGGGGAAATGGACTCTTATCTCTTGAACACAAAAGGTCTAAAGCACCTGTTGGCTTCTGCTAGTAATGCTGAGATACAGGAGTTTAAGATTCTTTGATGTATTTCTGAAATATTTAAAATGAGAAATAAAGAAATTCATGACAAATGAGTTGTTGTGTGCCGTTGAGTAGGTCCTGACTCATCGCGACTCATTCTGACCCTGTACAGTTTCCAAGGAGTAAGTCTTTGTGGGAGCAAAAAGCCTCATCTTTCTCTCGCAGAGCGGCTGGTGAGCTTGGCAGTCCAGTGCTTACTGTACAGCACCAGTGCCTAAGTAGTTGATTTGGATGTCCACTTTCTAGACCACTCTGGAGTATACACCTGTCTGTGGAACAGATCTCTCTGGGGTAAGTACCTGGGACAGACCTGTCTGTGGAACAGATCTCTCTGGGGTAAGTACCTGGCCTTTGCTTCTTTGGTCCATACTCCATGATGCTGTCACTGTGCTGAGACAAGGTCTCAGCATTTCCGCTCGCCACCTCTTCATTCCCCACATCTTCCTCTTCGTATTCAGTCTTGTCTTTAATTCTATCACCCAGGGCACTTTTTAACATCTGTTAAGAAAATTTCCAAATTCTTTCACAATGCAAGTTGGTAAGAGTAGACAGATAAAACCTTTCAAAAGTGTCCTTTAGAAATTCGGAGCTAATCCCATGTTTTCTGATACTCCACATGTTCAGTGTTTCAAGGGCGTGTATCATCAGTGCTACTGACGATTGAGTTTCAATCAACTTTAGAGTAAGCCACACAGGGACTCAACACATTGATTACATGAAACCCCAAAACTGTAATATTGTATTTTGTGAAAATCTGTGGTCTTTGTGACAAAGGGAAACCACACAGATGTATCTAATGGTAAACTGCTTAATGTAAATATTTACATTAAATGATTAAGTTTTCACCAGAATTTAGTAGTTTGGCTAAATCTGTACCAAATTTACTTACATCATGGAAGGCTAGGATTCGTTGTTCCTACTACATCTTACCTACTTGACTTAGAGAACAGTGTCATTGTAACTAAGACACAACTCATTTTCCAGTTCTCTACTCTTAGCTTTCATCTTCAGTTGAGGGAAATTGCTGAAATGCTCGCCACCACATAATAATCTCAACAGAGATAAAAAATCCAAGACTTGCCCAATCTAGTTCAGAGAGCCGCTGAGATAGTTTCTCTGAGACTGCATGCAACTCTTGTTGTGTTAACTTCCTTCTTAGCCTCTGGGAACAAGGTGAATCCCAAGATGAAACTGCAGATCTGTTTTCATATCTGTAATGAAAGTGACCATGTGATATTTAAGTACTCAAGTATGCATAGCTCAAACAAACTGCAATACATGCTTTTCAAATATATTTCATGCTGGTTTTCATAGCTAAATTTGGAGTGAACACCCTTTACACTTCAAATCCCTTTGCACAGGTTGCAAGCATGGAAGCCTATAGTAATGTTACCTTTTTCCTTTGGGAGGCCTCCTTGTCCTGGGGCTTTGGACATGAGCTGAACACATTCCCTGTTTGCTATTTTTAGGCAACTTGGAAGTGAAGAAAATGCTATCATCTGGTTCCTATTAAAATCAGAAAAAGGTTGATAAGAAAAACCTACAAAGAAGACAAAAGTAAGTACTTTCTACCATGTGTGTGTGTCTCTGTGAGTGCAGGGACCTATAGCACAAACACCATTCTCTCTGTTTGGTTTTGAAACGTGCTTATCAAAATACCCCATGGACACCCAATGCCAAAGGAATGGAACAAGGCCTACAAACTTGTGCTGAGAAAAAGTGTGGCTCTGAAACAGTGTAACAAGTCAAGATACTACTCCTGAAACATACAGGCAGTTCTCAAACCTGGAAGTCAGAGGTTACAACTATACTTGCACAGTGAGAAAAATGACTAAAGCACAGGTGCGAAGTTTGCATGTGGTTCTTTTTCATGTCAAGAAGTCAATGTAGACTGTCTGAAGCAGAAACAGTCAAAGGAACTTCCCAAGAATGCTAGCTCTTAACAGTTTGAATAATTGATTTGCTTAACTCTTAAGACTATGGAATCTTTATTGAAATGTTTCTTATGGTGAACAATATTTGTTTGATGTCTAAAGATCCCTTACATTTCACTTCACTGCCTTTTACTCTTCTATTAAAAGTAAAATTCAATACTTTTCAGTCAATTGTTGTTTGCCATCGAGTAGCTGGTTCTGACACATAGCAAGCCTGCTGTATAGGATTTCCAAAGCTGTAAGTCTTTACAGAAGCAGAAAGCCTCATCTTTCTCCTGAAGAACAGCTGGTGGATTCAAGCTGTGACTTTGTGGTTACCAGCCTACTGTATAACCCACTACGCTACCAGGGTTCACATCTGTGTGTGTGTATATAAATAGGTCAGAATGTATCATTGTTTATAAACTCACCATCTGCACACACCTGCCTGTTCTTGCTAGGAAACAGGACAAGATGACTGTATAAAAAGGGATTATTTTTTCCCCAAAAGAGTACAGGCAAATAGGCCAAGAAATTCCAAACCCACCCCAACTCACTACCACCTAGTGGATTCTGATTTAGAGCAGAACTACTCCATATCATTTCTGCGGCTTCAATCTTTACAGAAGCAGAAAGCCTCATCTTTCTCCTCAGAACAGCTGGTGCGTTTGAACCACAGACTTTGTAGTAAGCAGCCCATTGCTTAACGCACGGCACCACCAGGGATCCAAGATAAGAGATTATGAGCAGCTGATTCTGGATAGTGGAAAGATAGATGTATGGTTCCTATTGCTTTTTCACAATTTCTTTTAATTAAAAAAATTTTAATGGTTTAATTAAGAACACACAACATGACTCCTGAAGCCTTCGCCCTTAATTCAAAATCCTAGCTTCACAATAGTGGTGTGACCTCAGGCAAGGCATTCAACCTGTCTACAGAGACTCGCAGACAGGAACGGAAAAGTCTCCACCCCGCAGCTGTTTATGAGGAGCCAATTATTCAGCGGATGCAAAGTGCCCAGGACTGTGCTGCCTGGTATAAAATGAATAAGATGCATTGGCTCTTCTGAATTCCTTTTTTATACCCCGTCTTCCTAGAACAAGAATAAGCAGGTGTAGCAAAGGTGGATTTAAAACGTGCAATGCTTTCATTCATGGAATACTCTTGACTATTCTCCTGGCAGAGAGTTCTGTAAACACACAGACTTCGATTCAGCTGAAAACAGGCTTGTCCACTCACCATGGGAAGTGCTGTACACTCTCCAGTAGACTCCACGGCAGAGGCGCAGTGAGCTGCCCGCAAGTACTCTTTTCCTATGGGGCAGGGGGCGCGCAACTCAGCAGGCTGGTAGGGTGGCTGTAAAGGGATGGCTGGCCGGATAGGCTCCCCTAGCTTCCTGGCACTTGCAGTCATACTTGCAGAAGGAATTTCCACTAACAGACAAATCAAAGTGGACATTACAATGAAACTCTTAAGATCTACACAAACATGATTCACATATACAACTTGAACTTAGAAGTATATTTTAAACTTGATTTCAAACATAAAGTACTCAAAAACCAATTAAAGCAGGTACTCACTCATTCTCAGTTAACAAGTAGCCCAATAACTAAATCAGGAAGAATGCAATTCTAATGGTATTGTCATAAAAACTGTTCCCTAAAAAGTTATTAAAAAGAACACAAAATTGTAAGCAACCTGTGGCCTGAAGAATGGCTGTAAATCATGGTCCAGCCACATGTAGGAGAATCAGTTAGCTACTAATAATGCTTTCATCTAATACTACCACCTGAGAAAGTCAGCGATGACTACAGGGATTATTTTTCATAAATAAGTTAATAGGACATAATTTCCAGGTCACTGTGTTTTGTCATTCACTAATAATTCAATGACTACCCACTGACTCTTACTGTCTTTTTGCAGAAATCAGGGGTAATAATTAACAGCAAGTCCTGGTGTGGCATTGTAGGATAAAGCACTGGACTGCAAGGTCAGTTTGAACCACAAGGTGGTGATGGTGGTTATGTACTATGGAGTCAGTTCCGACTCATAGCAACCCTGTATAGGGTTTCCGAGGATGTAAATCTTTACCGGAGCAGAAACCCTCACCTTTCTCCTGTAGAACCTCTGGTAGTGTCGAACTGCTGACCTTGAGGTTGGCAGCCCGACTCGTAACCACTATGCTACCAGAGCTCCTTGAACCACAAGACGGGTGGTTCAAATTCACTAGCTCCTTGGAAACCCTATACGCTGAGTCGGAACCAACTTGACAGCACTTAACAACAGCTTACAAATAAAACCAGAGTATATGGCAGCCAAAGTTAAAAACCTAGCAGCAATAGCAATTGGCCCAGGAACTATTGTACCGAACTCAGAGCAGCAGCCTCAAGAACTAATAACCCAGCATGACTCACTGTCTTCAGCAAAGGCTGTTCTACTGTTGGACCAAAAACTAGATGGAGACTTCAACACTTCTGTATGTGACTTCGAACTTGGTGAAGTTGGGGCTTTCCTGGATTGCATTTCACCAGGATCTTGGTTACCTAGAAAAGAAATAATTAAAGGTAATTTAAAAAAAAAAAATTATCAAGATAGTTTGCCCAGTGTTTAACTGGAAGCCTAGAGTTTGGACTTCGGATAAATACTTTAGGTATGACATTAACTATTGAGATATGTCGGTCGGATTGTTTGAAATATACTAATTAATAACTATCAGAGAACAAGGTACAGTTCTCGAGCCCAGAATCATGGACACAACATAAAAGCAATGCTCTACACAAGCTTTCATCGCTTTGTTTTAGGGAAAACAGGTGCCAGTGTTGTCTAACTATTGACAGGTGGGGATATCTACAATGTCTTAGTTTCCTACTGCAGCTCTAACAGAAACACCACACGTGGATGGCTTTATAGACAGGGATGCTCTCACAGTGTAAGAGGCTACGAGTCCAATTTCCATGTGCTGACTCCAGGGGAAGGCAGGCTTGGTCGGTGTCAACTCTGGGCACAGGTTCTTGTCTCTTTTCACATGGGTGGGCCTGGCATCCCCTGGAGATCTCTGTATGTCTTGGCCTCGATCTGCCTCTGGTTTGAGGAAGTTCACAGCACAGAGACCATGGGCCCACAGGACACACTGCACTCCAAGCTCTCCTTTCTTGGTGGTAGTGAGTCCTTCTGTTTCTGCTCAATTCTCTCTCCTTTTGTCTTTTATAAAATAAAAGCTGTTGCAGGCCACACCCCCAGAGTAACTCCCTTTCCATCAGAGTAAGGGTGTTACATCCCACTCTTGATTCTCTTACTAGATTAGCACACCAGATCATCTCATGGAGGGTCATCCCATACTTGCCATATTGCATTATTACTTAACTGCCAAACAACTGCGAATCACGGCCCAGGAAGTTGACCTATGCTGTGGAGGGGGTACAATTCACATCAGGGTGTGGCGAGGTTCCTGAGCTAAGGGTCTTGGCTGATGGTATTGTTGTTTGCTGTTGAGTCCATTCGGACTCAGTGATCCTGAACAGGGTTTCTGAGAGCCACTGTGGGTTACAATGGCCAATCTTGCAGTTGCCAGTCCAATGCTTATCCTACAGCCCACACCAGCCCACTACAGTCAAAGATTTACAATCCAGAAATCAAGTCCTAAATCAGATGACTATGAATGTGTATGACACAGGTATGTTACGTCTTAAATTCAAACACAAAAGGAAGCTACTGCAAACCCAAATCCCACCAAACCCAAGCACCTTAATCTGGCTTCTCTCTCATCCTTTTCTCCTTTGTCTTAATCACATAACTCTTAAACACAGCTCTTTTTCTGTCAGAAACTACTTAGAGTCTAAAAATTTATGGTCGCCCCTTTCTACATGGTACCTGACATAACAGAACATCACTTCTGAAACCACCTTTCCTCCCTTCCCTAGTCAATGCAGTGGATTATTCCTTCAGGAAATGTTCTTGTATTACTTACAAAGGAATCTGATTACTCTGTCTATCCCGATGGCAAACTATGTCTTTGGTCTATACTGTCTGACTTCAGTTTTTTAAACATAATTCCCTGATTATTGTTGTTGACCCTATACACAACAAACTGAAACACTGCCTAGTTTTGCACCATTCTCACAACTGTTACATTTGAGCCCACTGATGCTGCCACCATGACAACCCAGCTCATTGGGGATCTTTCTCTTTTTTGCTGACCCTCCACTTTCCCAAGCATGATGTCCTTCTCCAGGGACTGGTCCCTCTTGATAACATGTCCGAAGTATGGCAGACAAAAATCTCACCATCCTGGCATCCAAAGAGCATTCTGGCTGCACTTCCTCCAACACAGACATTTTACTGGCAGCCCATGGTACTTTTAATATTCGTCTCCAACAGCATAGCTCAAATGCATCAACTCTTGTACAATCTTCCTTATTCATTGTCTAATTCTCACATGCATATGAGACTACTGAAAATAACATGGCTTGGGTCAGGTGCATCTTAGTCCTCAAACTGATATATCTGCTCTTGAACACTTTAAAGAGGTCTTGTACAGCAGATTTTTCTAATGCAATACGTCCACTTATTTCTTGACTGCTGCTTCCATGAGTGTTGATTGTGGATCCAAGCAAAATTAAGTCTGATGACATCAATATATTCCCCATTATTCATGATGTTTTTTACTGCTCCAGTTTTTTAAGTTTTTATTGTGAATTGAGTGAACGTTTACAGGGCAGATCATCAGTTTTACATTCAACAAATCATATACTTTGTTTCATTACAATGATTATAATCCCCTGCATGTACCATCATCAGTTAACAGTATTTTTCTCTATTCATTTTAGCTTTTTTTTTTTTCTTAACCACTCAGGCATATATAATAATTTACACCACCAAAGGGCACATTCTGCAAGTCTGCCTCCTGGCCACCAGCTCTCAGTCCCTCTCTTTCCATGATCTAGAGTCCTCAGCTGCTTCCTCTCTCCATGTCCCCATCTCTGCCTCCATCTCTGGTAGCGCTGCTTCTCTGGATAAGGTTCCACATTCTCCTTGTGCTCTTCTTCCCTTGATGGTCCTGGGGTCTTCTGTTTCTGGACTGTAAGATTAACTACGCTCCCGTTTTTGTTACAAAACTTCTACCTTTACAATTGTAACAGTTGCAATTAGTCATGATAACAATTACTCAATATTGACTCATAAGAATCTTATCCCCATCTCTTTTTAGCAGACCCATCTAGACAAGATTAAAACTATTCAGTGCGGACTCTGTCTCTCCCCACACAATCTTAAACTCCCTCTTGAAACCTTGTAAGCCAGTCACTTCATGTCTTTATCGCCCCCAGATTTTAGGTAGCCAATGTCTAAGTTGCCTGTCCCTAGCTACCCTGTGAACAGAGGGGATAGCATTGATACTTGATGTGAAGACTCCTTCCCTCTCTGTTAGTATTTTGAGCTACTACCTCCATGAGTGTAAGTCAAGTTCATCAAATTGTAACAATTTACACTCGTTTCCTTTATTACTGGTCCAGTTTTGAGTTTTATTTTCTTTACATTAAGGTACAATCCATACTGAAGGCTGTAGTCTCTGACATCTTCATCAGTAAATATGTTCTAATGAAAGTATTTCACTTCCAACAAGCAAGGTTGTATATCTGCATATTGCAGATCAATGAGTCTTCCTCCAATCCTGATGCCGTTTTCTTTTTCATATAATCCAACTTCTCTATTGTTTAGCATACAGATTGAATAAGTATGGTGAAAGAATACAAGCCTGGCACACAACTTTCTTAATTTGAAACCATTCAGTATTACCTTGTTCTGTTCAAGTAACTGTTTCTTGTGCCATATACAGGTTCATCATAAGCACAAGTAAGTGTTCTGGAATACCCATTCTTTGCAACCTTATCCATAGCTTGTCATAATCCACACACTCGAAAGCCTTTATATATTCAATAAAGCACAAGCAAACATCTTTCTGATATTCTCTGCTTTCAGCCAAGATCCATTTGAGTCAACAATTGTATTTCTAGTTCCACATTCTCCTCAGTCTGGCTTGAGTTTCTGGCAGTCCCCTGTTGGTTTACTGTTTGCAGTCATTTAAAAATTATCTTCAGCAACAATCCACTTGCATATGATATTGATATTGTTCGATGATTTCTGCATTCTGTGGGATCACCTTAGAAATGGGCACAAATATGGATCTCTTCCAATCAGCTGGCCAAGCTGCTATCTTCCAAATTCCTTGGCATAAATGAGTGAGTGCCTCCAATATTACATCACCTTGTTGAAATATTTCAATTTGTATTCTGTCAACTCACGGAACCTTGTTCTTTGCCAATGCCTTCAGTGCAGCTTGGACTTGTCTTCAGTACTATCAATTCTTGATCACATACTACATCTTGTGAGGGTTGAACATTGGCCATTTCTTTTTGGTACAGTGATTCTGTAATACCTTCCATTTTCTTTTTTTTAAATGTTTTATTGTGAGTTGTGTGATAGTTTACATGGGAGAACATCAGTTTTACATTCATTGCCATGGTTATAGTCCCCTCCATGCATCATCAACTAACCAAAGGGTATATACCCTGTAAGCCTTTACCCAGGTCGTCAGCACACAGCCCCTCTCCCTTTCTGTGTCTAAAGTCCCCAGCTGCTCCATCTCTCCACGTCATTGTCTCTGCCTCCATCTCAGGCATTACTGCTTCTCTGGGTAGGGTCCTGCTCTCCATCCACTCTTTTCCCTTGATGGTCCCAGGGACCTCCGCTCCTAGACTGAAAAGTTAATCATTTCCCTCCTTGCTACAAAACGTCTACCTACCTGTACATTTCCAACCCTCACAATCAGTCCTGATAACAATTATTCACTATTGTATCACAATTCCATCTTATTTTGATGCTTTCTACATCATTCAATATCTTGATCATTGTTGTTGTTAAGTGCCATCGAGTTGGTTCCGACCAATAGCGACCCTGTGTAGGGTTTCTGAGGAGTGACTGGTGAGCTTGAACCACTGACCTTGTAGTTCAAACGGCTTTGCAGTCTGGTGCATTAACCCACAGCACCACACCAGGACTCCATTTTGATCACAGAATCCATCAAATTCCAAGTCAAGGCTTGAATTTTTTCTTCAGTTCTTTCAGCTTGAGAAATGCTGAACATGTTCTTTCTTCCCTTCTGGTCTTTGCACATTTTGTTATAATATTTGACTTAGTCTTCTTGAGCTACCTTTTGAAATTTTTTGTTCAGCTCTTTTACTTAATTTCTGCCATTCATTTAACATCTCCACACTGGAGAGCAAGTTTCAGAGTCTCTTCTGATACCCATTATGGTCTTTTCTTATGTCTTTTTAATGACCTTTAGCTTTCTTGTTGTATGATGTTCTTGATGTCATCCTACAACTCTTCTGGTCTTAAGTCATTAGTCTCTGTTGTTGAGATGGTCTCTAAATCAGGTGGGATTTGGTCAAGGTTTTATTTTGGCTCTTGTAAACTTCTTTTGATTTTCTTCAGCATCAGCCAGAGCTTGCATATGAGCAATTGAAGGTCTGTTTCATAGTCGGCCCCTAGCCTTTGAAGAGATGTCAGACTTCAATAAACTCAGAAAAGATAGGGGCCTGTACGAAACCACACAGCCAGTAGCAGAGCCTGGATGAGCTTGCAGGCAACTTGATTCCCAATGCAATGTACTTCATTTAACTCTGGCATTCTCATCTTCCACTAAAAAAAATGCAGACTTATTGTGAGTCTGGTATTTTCCTAGGTTTGGGGATACCAAGATGACTCATTTTACTCTACATTTCCCTTAGTGATGGTAGTCTCCACAGGGATTTGTGTCTATTCTGTTCACCAGTATATGGTCATGAACATTTGCTGAATGAGTATGATGTGCCTACTGTCCCTGGAATTCAGTTTACAAAACAGACATACCCTAAAGTACCCTACCTACAGGAGTCCTAGTAGTGGAGTGGATTATGAGCTGGGTGACTAACTGCAAGGTAAGCAGTTTGAATCCACCAGTTACGCCGAGGGAGAAAGCTGAGGCTTTCTGCTTGTGTAAAGATTCAAAGCCTTGGAAACCCTATACACAGGGTCGCTGTGAGTCATAATCAACTAAGTGGCACACAAGCATCATCACCACCAAGGTACACTCCAATGTGTGGATGACATGACAGGAATGGGAAGAACAGCCACACTAAGATCTAGGCAGGTGGACATGCACAGGCATGAAGCAATGGAAAGGAGAAGCATACTGGGCAAGTCACGGAGTGGCGTCGCTGGAGGAGGGGCAAAGTGGGAGGTTCAAAACTGGGGCCTGAAAGACATTCAGGTCTACTGTGTATAAACAGCAGAAGGCTGTTGGAAAGATGGCCTGAAGTCTAGGGCTAAAATTGTCACTGGGTATAGAAACCCTAACATGTTACTCCCGTCTTGCCTGGGTATAGTAACCAAAACCAAGCCAAATGCCGCTGAGCTGACTCTGGCTCATGGTGTCCCTGTGTACATTAGAGTTGGGCAGAGTTTTGAGAAGTAGACAAGGCCTTTCTTCTAAGGTGTTTCTGAGTGAACTTCAACTTCCGACCTTTTGTGTAGCAGCTGTGCTCATTAGTGATTTGTACCTTTCAGGGACTCCTCCCAGGGCACCAAGTCTCACTAATTAATGACAAACCTGCATCCACTTATTTTCTTGGCCCTCACCACCCATGTGCCTGTCACTCCTATTTGACTCTATTTGGAATAACTGTTCATATTTACTGGGTCATGGTGGTATTCTGGAATTTCATTCTGATGCCCAGTTAGGGCTCTATATTTCTTACCTTTAAAGATGCCAAACTATACTTATACTACATTTTATAGCTATGTATACTATGTAACAATAGTTGGTATTTGAAGATTCAACCACTCACCATTACTTCTTAGAGAAAAGGTATGTGCTGTATCTCCAAGTCTAATGATTTCACCAGCGGACTCTGCTTCATCTTCATCCCAAGAGGGGCCCAACGCTTCAGAAGCCAGGGAGTACCTGTAAGAGTTCACGCACTCAGACCTGACCTGATTACCAACGCCCTGGCCAGAGCTGCTTCCCACAGTCCACCTGCAGTTGTTCAGGTTGTGCATATAGGCAGAAAATGGTAAAGACTCTTTGCTTGTTGTATCACTTCTTGCACTACCTAATCTGTTTGGTTTTGACTGATATACGACTGGTGCAAAGAGCTGTGTTCTGAGGATTAAATGTATAGAACACATCCAGAAAAAGGCAATCACTGGTTACTATAGGGGTGTGGGAATGGAGGAGCCTGTAGGGGGCAGACCATTAGTTCTGCTGTAAATACTCTTGTATGTTTCACTTCTGCACTTAATTTTTTAAAAACCTAATAATGAAAAAGTCAAGAATTGCATTTCACAAAGGTCTCCTTAATAATAAGCACAACACAGTACTGACCCTGTAAAAGAAGGCATTGCCTGTACTTTTCAAATCAAAACAAACGCCTGGAAAATACTGACAATCAGGCATTAAAATGGTCACAGCATCATGTTCAATCTGTCATTAGCGAAGAATGCACAAACTAGTCATGACAGATCATTTTTATCGACAACAGCAGCACTGAGTTTAAAATGATAATAATGGTCAGCAAGGGTCCAGTAACCTGACACTTTTGTACTGCTGGTAGATGTAGAAATAGTCATGGCAAGTAATTTGGCAACTTGTATTAACTTTAAAGCATTCATATTCCTTGGCTCTGAATTAAGCCTAAAGATATGAGACAAGGGGAAAAAAATTAAAGTATTTATCTTTTTTTTTTTTTAATAACTAAAATAATAAAAAATAAATACCTTAATTTTTATAATTAAAAAAAAAAAGCAAAAACCCCCAAGTAACAATAAATTCCTAGAGGAATGCTTTGTAAACTATAGTGCACCCATGTGAATGGTGTGCTATGCAGACATTAAAACTTATTATCAGCTGATCCAAGCTGATGAACTTAACCTATGCATATGAATACAGTGACACAAAAGAGGCAACAAATCCTTACAGCAAGAAACATTCCCACCCCCTCCACACACAGAGTAGACAGAGAGGGGCAACTTGGACATTGGATACACAAATGGGGAGGGAGGGACTACAAAGGCAAGAAGTAACTGGCTTACAAGCTTTCAAGAGGGAACCTAGACCTAGGGGGCATGGAGGAAGGCAGAATCACCAGTGAGTACTATCCAATTTGTCTAGGTGGAGCTGATGAAATGAAATACAGATGGGTTACATGCGATACTGTAGTGAATAATGGTTATCAGACGGATTGTGAGTGTTGGAAATGCAAGGGTAGATGTTTTGTAGCAAGGAAGAGAGCAGTTATTTCTCCAGTATAGGAGCAGAGGTCTCTGGGACCACCAACAGATAAGAGCTGAGAATGGGACCCCACCCTGAGAACCGGGGATGCCTGAGATGGAGACAGAGATGATGACATGGAGGGATGAAGCGGCTGGGGACTTTGGATCCAGAGAGGGAGAGGAACTGTGGGCCGAAGACTGAGGGTGGAGGGGGAGTGTAGAGCACAGGCTTCTAGGATATGCCCTTTGGTTGGAACACGATGCATGGAGGGGACTGGAACCATGGCAATGTAATGATATACGATGGAATGAATATGGAACTGAGGTTCTCTCATGTAAACTATCATATAGCTCACAATAAAACATAAAAAAACAAAACAAAAAACTTTTTATCAAGACTTTGTTGTTGTTAAGTGCCATTGAGTCAGTTCTGACTCCTATCAACCCTGTATAAGATTTCCAAGGAGCAGCTGGTGAGTTTGAACTGCCAATCTTGTGATTCAAACTGACCTTGCAGTCTAGTGCTTCATCCCAGAGCTTTTAGTACCCTGCAATATAGGAGGGGGAGGGCAATACACAAGAAGAGGGAGAGTGGCAGATGAACAATGAAGATAGGGAATGACTTAGGGAGGTATGCACAGGTTAAATGGGATAAAGGTAAATAGGGATTTATATACAACCTTGGAAAAACAGTGTTCTGTGAGTAGATACATGGATCGAGACACGGGCTGAACGATTAGAGGAGAAAAATGTTTATGTGCTTGACTGTCTTGTGGATATTGATTTTCCCTGCCTATTACTGCAAAGTAGCCATCTATGTGTGATAGAAATGAACACTGGGAATGAGGATGACAGAATACTTGTAAGTCTGCCTTCAGTCTATAATTAAATGGATTTGCTAAAATGGGAAATCGAATTTGCCCAGGGAAATAGGCTTCTTGTATGGGGCCTTAGGTGGAATCCTGAGCCCCACCCAGAACCTTCAGAGTTGGGACATCCCCACTTGAAAAGACATGCGGACCAACCCAGAACTGCTGAGAGAACAGAAGATTCTTAGTGAATAAAGACCTGCAGAAAAAAAGCAAACTGTTCAAATGACTGTTTGAATATCAAGCAAGCTGCTTGTTTTGGAACATCCCTTTCTAAGACTGAAACTCAAAAGGAACCCATGAGGAGTCTAGTATGCTTGATGGTGACCACCTGGGTCTACTTATGAGTGAAAGTGGGAGAAATGCAGCAATGAAGACGGGCTGAGTTTGGTACCTGCTGACCTTGAGATGAGAGAGAGAAGAGGATGGGCTGGCTAGCCTGAAGTTTAGGGAGATGTGTGAACTCCTGAGCCCCTGGGCAAAGACCTAGCTTCTGGAGATTAGGGCTGAGAGTGAAGCAGCCAGCCAGTCTGAAGGGCAGGGAGATGTGCATGAACTCCCAAACTAGCACCAATGTGACCTAGCTTGGATGACTAGTTGACCAGAAATACTTGATACTGAGAACAAGTGTTAATTTGCTACAATTTGATGAACTACACTTTTGCCTATGAATGCAGTGACTCAAAATTCCAACCGGAAGGAATGAAAGGATTCTTCATATCATGAAACAACCTTGTTCACTCAGTATAGTAGGTGGATTGTTGTTGCTGCTGTTGTGAGCCGTGGAGTCGGTTCCGACTCATAGCCACCCCGTACAGGGTTCCCAAGGCTGTAAATCTTTACGGGAGCAGAAAGCCTCATCTTTCTTCCTCGGAACAGCTGACAGTTTCAAACTGCTGATCATGAGATTAGCAGCCTGATTCGTAACCCCTACGCTACCAGAAAGGAACTCTGGTAGCGTAGGGGTTACGAATAGGGCTGCAAACTGCAAGGTCAGTTCGAAACTACCAGATGAGGCTTTCTGCTCCCATAAAGATTTATAGCCTCGGTAATCCTGTAACAGGTTAAATTCCCTATGAGTCAGAACCGACTCCACAGCACACAGCCACCACCATGCTACCAGAGCTCCTCGTACTAGGTTAATAGGGATGTGAAATTTAGACATTTGCTATCAAAATTGGGGTGCTACAAAGGCATAAAGTGGCTAGCTTACAATCTTTCATGAGTGAGCATAGTTTCAGAATGAGGAGGCTAAGGTAGGATCCCAGATGGATCTGGTGAAAGGTGACGGGGATGATGCTGATAGGATTTTATGACTCGATTGTGAGTAATTGTTAGCAGGATTCATTGTGATTTTCACAACTGTAATTGTAGAAGATGTGTAACTAAAAGGGAGGAGAAGGTAATCTTTCATTTCTGGTACAGATGATTCTAGGACCATCACGAAGGAAGAGCACAAGTGGAGTGTGAGATCCCTCCCTAGAAAAGCAGCAACAGAAGACAGAAGAGATGGTGGCTGTGTGCCTGTGGGCAGGAAGCTGGCTGACAGAATGAGCCCTTTGGACAGTTATATGAATATAGATTTTTTTGCTTTGTAAGTATACATCAAATATCTTTGCCTTGTTCATTTATGAAATATAAGATGCAAATGGAGAGCCACAGGGAAGAAGTAGGATAAATGTTGCAAGGAGGGGACTGGAAATCACTGAGATGAAACAAGGTATACCGTTAGCTGAATGTAGAGCTGATGATCTTGTTTGTAAATTTTCACCAAATTCACAATTTTAAAGTTTTTTTTTAAAAAAATGAGGCCCTGGTGTGGCACTGATAAGCACTGAACTGATAACCAACCACAAGGTTGGCAGTTCAAACCCACCAATAGCTCTTGAAAACCCTATACATGGTCACTATTGAGTCAGAACCAGCTCAACGGCACACAACAACAACATCAAGAATAAAGAAACTTGGTAAGAAATAAAATTACAAGAAAATATGACTAAAGTCAAGAAAGGAAAAGACAAAAAAAAAAAAAAACAGTTGGAAAATGAAAACAGTAAGTGACAATGTGATTTACAGCCTCCAAAACTCTGAATAGGGTCAGAGTCAGAAGTTTCTCCATGGCACACCACCGCCTCTACCACCATACGTGTATACAGCTCCAGGTTCTTCAGAGTTCCTCGGGAAGGCTTAGGACATGACAAGTCAGCAACGTTTTCACTTTAGCTTTGTCTTTTTCCAGCCGTTCTAGCACACTGTGCAATTTTAAATCTTAGTAAAGAGAAAATGGTAGCACGTTCACAGACACCGAGCACTACCTCCGTGAAGGCACTCTCCTCCAGGTCTCTTCAGTACTTCCCAGCTCTTCCAAAGGGCATCCTGCATGTGATGCTTTACCATGCTGCTCAGTTTCACCTGTGTGGAGTACACACAAACAGCAACAAAACAAGACAGACGTCACTATGACTGTTTCCCTAGAGGAGGTGGGGAGAGGTGAGTCCTGGTAAACAGGGAAAAGTGAAGCTAGGAAGAACCAAATGATCCCCTGTAATGACAATCATTTCTCAACAGGGAAACAACATAAGAGTTGCTCCCCAAACAGGACCCACAATTGTATTAGCAATGTTTTATTTATTTAGTGTTACATTCATTTATTACTCTTGAAACCATTTTGTCTATCTGTAAGGGAGTCCTTGTGTGGCGCTGTAGGTTGGCAGTTCCAACTCACCAGCCACTCCTTGGAAACTGTACACAGGGTCCCTAAGAGTCAGAACCAACTCAATGGCACTTACCAAGAAGGTAATGTCTAAGACAATGATGAGGGTGTGAATTCAGAAAAACATGATTGTTGTAAACAGACTTTAAGCTCCAAAGCAGTTAGTTATATCTTAGCCTACGAGTCAGGCAGCATCAAAGCTTTGATAAATTTGCCTTAAGACAAGTTCACCCTAAAATAGACAAAGAATATATACCTTCCCCAGTGGCAGTGGTACGAGAGCCATGATTCAGGAGGCAAGTGGGCAAAACCTGCTTTGATTCAGTCTCCCATCTGGATATCCCCACCCCCATACTAAAGAGTCATTGTGCAAACATACAACTTATTTTTCTCTTTCTGAATTTACCAAATGGCATTTTAGTAATATTTACTGGGAGTTGGGCTCAGTATTAAACTATTTCACTTTCACGATCAATACAGAAATGGGCTCCGAGAGCTTCAGTTAGACCAGGAGGGCTGGAACTTAACTCAGAACCAACAGTCTGCCTTCAGTGGTCAATGATAATGCCCGATCAGGGACCGGGCCAAAGTCATGCTGCAACAGCTGACTTGACAAAGGATAGTAAAAATTTCTTTCCTAAGATTGCTAACTAGCACTTTGAAGAATCTGCTCAGCTCTAGGTAATACTTCCAAATGAAAAGTTTATGCATGCCAGGGTGAGAATGAGACTGTACAGAATGTTGCCCAACTAACATAGTGCCATTTCTTTTGGAAGGCCCATGTGAGCAGCTCCACTCAGCTCACCACAAACCACTACCCTCTCCTGGGAATCTCCCCCAACATTTCACTGTCACCAGACTGATGGCAGCTGTGTCTCATTCCCTCCCTCCTCGAGACTCTATCCTAGGCCCTTTTCATCTCTTCCACACCTCCAATCACACACAACTGTAGGCTGCTGCTATCATTATCACATGTAATCTTTACTTGCTTCTAAAAAGCCTAAAAGGCCCACACAGCATTCAGATATCTGCCTGGGAGCCATGAATTAGATGAGTTCCACTTTTTTTTTTAAATTGTGATTTGGATAAAAGTTTACAGAGAAAACTGGGTTTTCAAGAATTCATACACATTTTGTTTCGTGACACTGATGGCTCTCCCCACGATGTTAACAGCACTTTTCCCACGTCTCCCCTGTTGTTAGTGTGGTTCATGTTTGTTACGCACTTCCTCAAATCCCCTTTTAGGTTTTTATTATATGTATGTGTTTACGGCTGTTCCTGACTTGAGTATAGGTTTCTTTGAAAACAATAAAACATGACTTGTAGCTTTGAATCCTCCCAGAGTAACCAGGAAAGTACTTGATGCATATTGTTGTTGTAAATAAGTGTCTTTGAGTTGGTTCCGACTCAGAGTGACCCAGTGCAGGATTTCTGAGGAGCAACTGGTGAATTTGAAGCGCCAACCTTGCAGTTCAAAGTGACCTTGTGGTCCAGTGCAGTATCCCACAGTGCCCCACCAGGACTTCTGATGTATATTAAACACTCACAATTGTAGAAATAAAAAAAAAAAAAAATTCTTAGTTTGGTGTGCCTTTCAATCTTCCCTTCCAGTCCATTTAACTCTTTTTACCAGTCAATTTAAAAGGGAGAAAACTATCTCTAAGATGTTCAGATTAATTTCAATGTCATCACATCACAGGATTGACAGTGAGAGATTAAGTATGATGAGCTGACTCAAATTTTGTCCTTATTTATACTAGAACTATGCTAACTGCTGCTTGCTGAAAAGGTGTGTGTGTGTGATGACTTTACAATCTAAAGTCACTTAGAGAACTGAGGCGTGTCTGGCCCATACCGTGGTATTTTTCAGTTGCCTCATATGCTTATGTGAAGGCTGAATAACTTATAAGGAAAACTGAAGAAATTATGTATTAGTGAAGACTATTGAATACACCATGGACTGCCAGAAGAATACGCAAATCTATGTTGGAAGAAGCACAGTCAGACACTCCTCAGAAATGAAGATGACAAGACTTCGTCTCCTGTAGTTTGGATTTGTCCCAGGAGGGACCAATCCCTGGAGAAGAACTTCATGCCTGGTCAAGTAGAGAGTCAGCAAAAACTAGGAAGCGCCTCAATCAAATGGACTGATACAGTGACTGCAACAATGGTCTCAAAGCAAGCACTGACTGTGAGGGTGGGGCAGCAGGGGCAGGGTTTTCTTCTGTTGGGTGTCGGGTCACTAGAAGTTGGAATCGACTCAATGGTACCTAACAATAACAACAATCTCAAAACAAATCAGCTATCAGTCCATCAAGGACTCACAGCTTTATTTACTTAACCAATCTGATACTGCTATTTGTTGTTGTCGTTAAGTGCCGTCAGGTTGGTTCTGACCCACAGCAACCCTGTACAGGGCTTCCAAAAAGCAGCTGGTGAGCTTGAATGGCCAACCTTTAGGCTCTTTTTATTTTTAGTGATTAAATAAAATAACATGGCAATGAAGATCTTCAAGCACCTGTTTCTGTTCTATTCTTTCCTTAGGATAATTTCCTAGAAACGGAATTTATCAAACTCAAGATTTTAAGTAGCACTCACACATTCTTGATTCAATTAACCACAAGTCTTCTGGAAAATAATATGGCAATAAAACCAAAATTTCACACTAAAATACTGTCACAATCTGAGGAAAAGAGTGAAAATATTCAAGCTGTCACAAATCTCACTGTGGGTTGAGAACAGAAATACACAAATTCCTTCTGCTGGCACCTTGGCAACATCCAAATTTATAACACAAACGGCAGTTTATTTCTGACATAGGAAATTTTAGAGTAAGGAATATCATGTGACAATACCATAATATATAATTGTAGGCAGAAGGTTCGCTTTCTGTTATAGTTTCTCTTTATAGTACTTTATAAATAAGATCCAAGTTAGCAAAGGATATGACAGTTTAGAAGAGAACTTTCAACTACTAGGAACAGTAAGAATTGGAAATCTACAATTAAATGATGTGAACTTTACCAGCTGTACTGTATTAAAGATTCTACGTCTTGTGGAATCTTGGGGAAAGCAGGCAAACAGAGAAAAGGTAAACAGGGGTATAACACAGAGTATAAATCAAATAAATTTTTCATTCTTAGACTTACTTTTCTCCTGAGATGTTTCGCTGATTTGTTCTGTAAGATACTCCAGCAACCCATCAAATATCTCTAGGAGATTCTTAATAGATTCTTTATCTCCTTTCACTATATTTTCTCCTGAACACAAAATACATAGCTATTAAAAAATTTAACCATAACGCTGTTTAAGAATACAATAATCATAAACTCACGCAGGAAATATATTACTACAGGTATTTTAAAATGTCAATTTCCTACTGACTGATTATATCTGAAGAAACAAAGACAGTAACCTTGAGTGTATTTTGATAATTCATTGGCATATTCTTTCCATATGTAACACGCACAATGTTGTTACGTGCCGTGGAGTCGGTTCCAACTCATAGCGACCCTGTAATAGGGTTTCCGAGGTTGTAAATCTTTACGGGCGCAGAAAGCCTCATCTTTCTCTTGCTGAACAGCTGGTAGTTTCGAACTGCTGACCTTGGGGCTCGCAGCCTGATTCGTAACCACTACGCTACCAGAGCTCCTTACGTGGACATAAAGAAATATCCCTTAGTAAAACTTATGCCAAAATAAAAAGGAGCCAAGCACAATTTTATTAGGCCTGGTGAATAAACAGCAGGCGAGAACATTGGAGGTTCCTACTCAGAGGCGGTGATTTGTTCAGCAGACTTGATGGCACTTAACAACACAACAACATGGTGTAATGAATCCTCTAATGTCTCGTCTAGCCATAGTCTGTAACTGCCACCAAACAACACTGCTGCCCTGCTGGATCTGGGTAAGAGAAGGTGGGAGAAGATATTGACAGGATGATATGATTCAGCTGTGGATGTTAAGAGTTCACGGTGATTGTAAAAACATGAAACTCTAGCATAGGTATAAAATGAGCCAGCTCAGAAGCAGGAGTGGAATCTCATTACCATCAAAGAAGAAGACTCAGGAATGGAGCATGTCGTTTGGACCCTGAGATCCCTGTGCAGTGAACCTCCTGGACCCAGGAACAGAAAGCTGAGACACTGGAGGAGGGGCAGAGGAGCAGCAGCAGACCCAAGCGCCAGAGCAGTGGACTTCCCAGCCCACTGAGCAAGTAAAGCTGAGTAACTTTGGGCAGGAAGCTTGCTTGTAGAGTGGGGTGCCTCCAGGAACTAGTGGGGGTGCTAGAGCCAAGTGCCTTCAGGCTGAGGCTTATGCTGAAGTGGTGTGCCCTGTGGGCACTGATCAGCAACTGACTAGAACTATGCCCTGAGCCTCTCTGACTCCAAACTGTAAACCTCTCAACTTCCCTAATACAGTCCATACTTGGAGGATGGTGTCTGAGTTCTATATGGATTATGGAATCTGTTTGAATAGTGAGTGCCAATTACGTTAGTTATGATTTGTTTCATTTTTTGCAAGCAGAATATGTTGTTTGTTGTTGTCAGGTGCCATCGAGTCGGAACCGACTCATAGTGACCCCATGCACAGCAGAACGAAACAATGTTCGATCCTGGGCCAACCTCACC